TGCTGCTTCATAAATGTAATGTTATAAATCATAATGTAAACATCTGTGTTTTCTGATAGTCCTAGGTAACCCCTGTAAAAAGGTCCATTGACCCCCTAAAAGGGATTGCAACCCATAGGTTGAGAACCACTGCTCTAGACTGACCCAGCCTTACCTAATGGATATTAGTAGGTTATAATGGCACCCCACTGTGGGATAGAGCTGGCTGGCTGATTAGTCTGTGATAAATGACTCATTTTCCTGAGCTGGGCGTGGCTTCATCCGTCTTTCTCAGTATCCCAGGACATGGGGCTCACATTGTTCTTTAGGGGGCTTAGTGGCCCTTGGTCATCAGAATGGAGGGTGCTAGGGTCATGGGGAGTGTTAGCCTACAAGTGACTCTCACTGTCAGGCAAAACACATGTCATGTGACCGGTGCCAACCACTTGATTCAGAGACCCAGTATCTATCCAGAACTATCAGCCTCTGTCTCCCACCCCCCAGCTTCTTTTTCCTGGCCTAAGTGACGAGCTCTCTTCTTCCTGTTCTTTTTTGGATTCCTTGACATCTCTCAGGTGACATCAGGGGAGCCACCTGCAGTAGGAAGTATGTGGCTCTCCGGATAAGTGGTGAATGTGCCCCGCTGACTGACCAATTTCCTTTCTCTGTATGGATGGTGCTCTCCTAGGAGTTAGGACTGTCCTTCGCATGGCCTGGCAAGCTGGTTCTGGAGGAGGCAGATACCCCCTCACCCAGATGAATCACATCACAGATGGGTTTACGAATCTGAAGCCTCTGCTGTGCTGTCCTCTCCAGTCCATGGCCTGCAGTGCTGCTCAGATGAGCTGCCTCCCTCTGGGCTGCTGGATGAGATGTCTCAGTGGCTCTGTTGTCTTTCTCCCATTCTCTTTCCAGTCAGTGCTGCTTAGTCACTCACTGGTCCCTGTCTGCTCTCTTGGCCTCCTTTACAATCTGACTCGAAGATGTCCATGGGGAAACTGAGGCCAGATCTACTTCTCTTGCATTTTAGGGGTACCCTGTTCACATGTGGTCCCATCACTTTTCGGACCCTTCAGAAGGCATGGCCTCAGAACCCGAACATTCATGGGCCTCTGGCATCATGGCTAGCAGATTGGCCAAATAAAGGCACTTGAGCTCAAGAGTCAGAATTACGGAACAGCAGGAAAGGAGCGGAAAAGCATGGAGTGAGTCACTATCTCAGAGGAGCACGCTGTCACGCAGTGTGCCTGCGAACTGAGAGCCTTCTCGTGTGCCAGCTCCTGAGAAACCCAACGTGGGACTTTTCTATAAAGGCAGCGACCTGCCATCAATCACTGGCCTGGCTCTGTCAGCAGCAGGATTTTTAAGACACACAGGGACTATGGATGAGAGTCTGTCGTGAAACCCCATCCTCCAGGCATAATGTGGTCACTACAATCAATCATAGCAGCTGGCCCCTGCAGGAAAGCTTTGTAAAACTGAGCCTGTTGACAGCCTGTGGTAGTTTGAATGGATTTGGCCCAGATAAACTCACACGGAGCGGCACTGTTGGGAGGTGTGGACTGGTTGAAGGATATCTGTCACTGTAGGGGCGGGCTTTGAGGTCTCTTTTGCTTAAGCTTCAACTTCCTGTTGCCTTCTGACCAAGATGTAGCCAGCATCATGTCCACCTGAATGCCACCATGCTCCCCACCATAATGATAATGGCCTGAACTTCAGACTGTAAGTGAGCCACACCAATGAACTGTTTTCTTTATGAGAATTGCTGTGGTCATGGTGTCTCTCTACAGCATTAGAAACCTTAAGTAAAACACAGCCCCTTAAAGAAGGAGGGGGTGAGAAGGTCATTAGACCCTATACTAAGGTCCAGCCACTCCCTCCCTCCTGTACCCATTAGCTGTATGTAATTCTACACCAGAGGATATGGTCTGAGGAGGGGCTAGACCAGTGGTTCCCAACCTTCCTAACACTGACCCTTTAACACAGTTCCTCATGTTGTGGTGACCCCCAACCATAAAATTATTTTGTTGTTACATTATAATTGTAACTTTGCTACTGTTAGGAACTGTAATGTAAATATCTGATATACAGGACATCTGATAGTGATCTGTGAAAGGGTCATTTGACCCCCAAAGGGGTTGTGACCCTCAGGTTGAGAACCAGTATACCAGAATATATAGGAGGTAGAAAGTTAACTGAAAGAGAGGCCCACTCAAGCAGTTTTTGGGAGGTTATCGTTCCTACTGGATGGTGCAGTTCTCTGGGGGCAATCTACACCTCTCTTCTATAAATAACCCCTCACTCATGCTCCTATAAACCCGATAAACTATTTGTTCACTAATCCAGATCTGGGTGAGATTGTTCCTTTGGTCTGTTGGTTGCCCTATCTAGAGTGCATGGATGCGTATTCCTATCTCCCTAGGAAGAGTGAAGGCAACAGTGTATGATGGAGCTAGTCCATTACTGATCACTGATCTACACACTGTCTTCATCTGGGACCTTGTCTGGACTGCCAAGGTCATAAAACCCTGAACACACTTGGTGTACTGCTGCTGCAGTTGTTTTTGTAAATATAAATCATCTCATGTTTACATTGAGGATTCTGGACACGACTTACAGTTACTGTTACAGGAAGCGCCGTCAATCAAGGAAGTAAGTGTTCCAGAGAGAACGGACTGGTGGCAGGCTACACACCTGCTTGATAAATTCACCTTCTAGTCAGTAACATAAAAGCTAGAATTTTAACCACCAGGTTTTCAAACTGGACCATGTATATTGCTACAACATGAGTGGGATTTCTAAGCATGTCTTGGATGCTCAGTGGGCAGCCATGGATGCATACTCTTAAGTTTTCTCTGGCCTCTTAGAAGGTCCCAGTTCATCTACTACTCAGGCCTTCACTGTGTTACCTGCTGACTCACCCCTACCCAAGATCATCACTATGTTACCTGCTGACTCACCCCTACCCAAGACCATCACTGTGCTACTTGCTGACTCACCCCTACACAAGACCATCACTGTGTTACCTGCTCACTCACCCCTACCCAAGACCATCACTGTGCACCTGCTGACTCACCCCTACCCAAGACCATCACTGTGCTACTTGCTGACTCACCCCTACCCAAGATCATCACTATGTTACCTGCTGACTCACCCCTACCCAAGACCATCACTGTGCTACTTGCTGACTCACCCCTACCCAAGACCATCACTGTGTTACCTGCTCACTCACCCCTACCCAAGACCATCACTGTGCACCTGCTGACTCACCCCTACCCTAGTCTTTGTTACTGCCAGGTATTATCTGTTAAGTATGTCTCCCTCAAGCTAAATAGTGGCAACATGACTTGGGGGTGAGGTATGGAATGGGAAAAGGCCATGTTACAGGTCCTAGTGACCTTGTCTCTGTGGTAGAGGGGGCTATGGAGAAAGAGGGCCCTTTGTGTTTAGTGTCTACAGCCAAGACCCCAAGAATGTAGCTAGATGACTCCTAACTCCCAGGTCTTAAAGACACAGACATCTTTTCTGGTAGCTCACCTGACATGTAAGAATTGGAGTCTTCCATACCCAGGAACATGATGTCCTGATTTACAAGGAAATGCGGGTAGTTACGAGAGCCTGAGTGTAGGCATTCAACTGAGGACACAAAACTGAACCTAGTTTGTACCCAGCCTCTCATTTGGGAATGGCACCAGGCCATCTCCTGTAGACAGGGGCCTTCTTCCCTGGGGTTGGTATCCAGTATCCAGCTCTTCATCTAGCCTTCTCACTTGCTTTTCATGGCCTCTGATGGTAATGAAACCAAAGGAGCAGACCAGGACCATGGTCAGACCCAGTCAGCATCCACAAGATCCGCCCCCACCCCGTGCACCCAAATCCATAGATGCTCACGTTCCAAATAAAGAACAGCCCGACACTTGCTTATAATGCATGCCATTCTTCTGTATCCTTTAACTCATCTCTCAGTGGTATGATACTGAATACAAAATCTGCACATCACTTTATACAGGTGGCATGAAAAAAACCCCACAAGTTTGGCTTTGAGGAACTTTGTGGAGTTTCTTGTTGAATATTTTCTATCCATGAGTAGTTAAATTAAAGGACAGTTGAATTTACAAATGGCAGGGCTAACTGTCCTTGATATCTAGTTCTGCTGAAAATGTGAATTTTAACCTGAAGGCTAATCTGGGATATAGTTTATTAATTAGGTTTCCTTGGGAAGCCAGGAGAAAAGTGAATACATTTCAGATTTCTTTTATTAAGTTGGGTAAGCATGAAGGTTCAGAACTTTCTTATCCATGCCTGAGTCTAACATCTGGACTGGGCAGAATGAACAAGGCCCAAGTCCAACTGGATGGTCAAGGTGGTTGTAGAAGCTTTCCCACAATACATTACATTCTGTACCACACAGATTCCAACTGCCCCACTGGCTTGCCTGGACTGATGTGTCTGTCTGTCTGTCTGTCTGTCTGTCTGCCACATCTATCCACTCTACCTTAAAGCGTCCATTCAAGAGGCTGAGCTCATTGCCAAATACAGAAGCTATCTAATTCTTGGGAAGGCTATTTAAATGGGAGTTTTAGAATTCCACGTATCGTTGAAATGCTGTAATTTACCAGAGAAAATTTCCTCAACAAGATAAACACCTCATTTCCTAGCAGTGATTCATGTGATTATATTTGGGGTTGATACGCAGCTGGCCTGCCTCGAGGTGGCATTTCTCAGCAGGCAGTATCAAGCTGTTGCCCACACTTCCAAAGATGCCTCCTGACCTCGCCACAGCCTTTCTTTCCTCAGTGACCTCTGAGACCCATCAAATAATGATCATTTCCCACCCGCTTCTCCTAACCATCCTAGGGACCACTTTGGATTTTGTTTTCACCCTCTTGTTTTGAGCAGCAACATTAGCATGCATGTGTAACTCCACAGCACAGCCAGTGACTAACTGAAAAACCCACTAGAAACCACTTGTGTAAATGCCAGTGTGCAGAGAATGCCGACAGACATGAGGGGCAGCTCACACGTTGAGGGGCAGCTGGGTTTTGGGAGACATGCTCTGTTCTCCAGCCACCGCGGCAGCTCGTGGGATGGCTGTGGGGACAGGTCCAGCTGAAGAGGAGTCCTGCAAAGAGACAAGAGGACACGGGAGTGAGCAGAGGAGGGTTCCATCTAAGAAGGAGAAAGCGGGTCAGTGGACACCGGCAGCCACGCATATTCCCATGGTGTCAAAGCACCTACCTTCCCCCTTGTCAGGCTTCCCTTCCCTGGCCGTTAATCAGATTGTTACGGCCCACTGGAGAAAGGCTGTGGCCCAAAACACCTGTCCCAGGGCATCTTTCAAGAGCCCCTTCTGAGAATCGTACCTAGGTCAACATAGGGGAAGACAGTGTGGGACGGAGCTGTCTGGCTTTGTCTTTAAAACCTGAATTAGCCGGGCGATGGTGGCGCACGCCTTTAATCCCAGCACTCGGGAGGCAGAGGCAGGCGGATCTCTGTGAGTTCGAGACCAGCCTGGTCTACAGAGCGAGTTCCAGGACAGGCTCCAAAGCCACAGAGAAACCCTGTCTCAAAAAAAAAAAACCTGAATTAATCTTTAGTGTGTGTTGTGTGCAAAGTAAAAATCCAGACAAAGCATTTTGGAAGCAAATTTCGGTGGCCATGAACTGGGAACATAGATTTAGGTCTCCCTGAGTACCGTGTTCCATGTGGAAGCAGTTTCATGAAGTTCTGATAGTAATAGAACAAAGGAAAAGTCATAAATCCAGACTTTGCAGATTCTTTGGAGACATTGAGTAGGGTGTTACTGTACAGCAGAAAAGCTCAGCCATTGGCCCTGAGCACCCTGGTAACACACTGGATCCTTTGCTGGAGAACAGAGGTTTGCTAAGTTAATGCGTTCCAAAGGTTTTTATCTGTTTACCATGATGTTAGGTCTGACATTGAGGTGGGCAAGGGAAGGCTCTTTAGCTAAGCTAAAAAGAGTCCAAAAGAAACTGTAATCAGGCTCTGGACCTGCAACACTCCAAACTGGCCACCGATCCTGAAGTTTTAATTGGTCAGCTTTGGCAGACACAACTTCTTTTCAGGAACTCTTTTTCCAACTGCAAAATTTGCTCAAAAGTGCCATTGCGCAGTTTCTCAGAAAATTAGAAATCAGTCTACCTCAAGACCCAGCAATACCACCCTTGGGCATATACCCAAAGGATGCTCACTCACACCACAAGGACTCAACTATGTTCATAGCAGCATTATTCATAAAAGCCAGAACCTGGAAACAACCTAGATGCCCCTCAACCGAAGAGTGGATAAAGAAAATGTGGTACATTTACACAATGGAGTATTTATTACTCAGTGGTAAAAAACAATGACACCTTGAAATTTGCAGACAAATGGATGGAACTAGAAAAAGCCATCCCAAGCGAGGTAGCCCAGACCCAGAAAGACAAATACAATATGTACTCATTCATAAGACAGACATAAAGCAAAGGAGAATCAGCCTACAGGCCACAACCCCAGAGAACCTAGGTAACAAAGAGGACCCTGAGAGAGACATACATGGATCTAATCTACATGGGAAGTAGAAAAAGACAAGATCTCTTGAATAAATTGGGAGCGTGGAGGGCAGTGGGGAGGGCAGAAGAGGAGAGGGGAGGGTAAAAGAGGATTGGGGGAAAATGTATAGCATATTCCTATCCGAACAATTAAAATGAGAAGGATTTAATAAAAATGAAAGAAAAGAAAGAGAAGTGTTATTCTGAGGAGTCGAACATTAACTTGTAGTGACAGTCAAGAGACAGAAGGAGGACCACGAACAACAAAGCATAGCATGTCCCTCTCCAGAGCCTCTGCATCTGGAGTCTCAAGACTCCACGGGCCCCTTTATGCAGGGTGTGGGTTCCATCTCAAGGCTGTGCCTTCCAAGTGTCTCCCTGTTAAGGTTTTGGGAGGCAAGGAAATTTCAGCCCTTAGAGGTCGCTGTTGTCTGCAAATCCCCTAAACACCACTTAGGTCCTTCTGTTCAGACATATATGAAGGCATAATGGGTTGAACTGTCTCCAATGGTCTTGAAGCCATTCAAGCCATAATTAAATAGAAAGGCATAATGTGTTTGGCCAGGAGACAGCGAAGGCAGAATTCCATCTCCTGAGCAAAGGGGAAGGCTTAGCTGAGTATAGGCAATGCTGGTGCTTGTTATGCACGGGGTGATATGAAGGCTTGCAGACATCCACAGATCCTCCAGGGAACCCAAATATCCAGTGCCCCATAGAACATGAGGATGGGCTGAGAATTCCCAAGAACTCTGGGGCTGACAGAATCTCAGGCCTATTTAGAGGTCTTAGAGGGGGAGGGCATTGCCATCTCAGCTTCAGGGGGTAATTGCTGATGGTTTTCCCGGAAAGCTGGCCAACAAATGCTACAAAACAAACACATGAGATTTCTCAGGTTTGTGTTTCTTAGAACTGCAATACAGGTTGTACTCACAGAGGTATCTGCTGTGGCTTGAATGAGAAATAGCCCCCACAGACTCACGTGTTTGAATTGAATACCGGGTCCCCTGCTGGCGGCACAGTTTTGCAAGGTTGTGGAACCTTTAGAGGGTAGATCCTTGCTAGAGGAAATGGGTCACTGGCAGAGGGCCTTGAGGCCTCATCGCTCCTGCCCGCCTGTCTTTCCTGCTGCTATCATTGCTAACCCCCCACGAAGTGTGTCCTTGAGGGGCTCTAAACCAGAACAATCCCTTTTTTGTTGCTTTTGTCAGATTTGATCCCAGCAACCGGAAAAGAAACTAAGACGGTCCTTCCCCAGTTTGGAAGATGTGTGGCTCATGCTCGGCGGAGTGTGGCTCATGCTCGGCGGAGTGTGGCTCATGCTCGGCGGTGGCAGAGTGTGGCTCATGCTCGGCGGTGGCAGAGTGTGGCTCATGCTCGGCGGTGGCAGAGTGTGGCTCATGCTCGGCGGTGGCGGAGTGTGGCTCAAGCTCGGCGGTGGCGGAGTGTGGCTCATGCTCGGCGGTGGCGGAGTGTGGCTCATGCTCGGCGGAGTGTGGCTCATGCTCGGCGGTGGCAGAGTGTGGCTCATGCTCGGCGGTGGCAGAGTGTGGCTCATGCTCGGCGGTGGCGGAGTGTGGCTCAAGCTCGGCGGTGGCGGAGTGTGGCTCATGCTCGGCGGTGGCGGAGTGTGGCTCATGCTCGGCGGTGGCAGAGTGTGGCTCACAGCGTGGCACTGCCATGCAATGGAATCCAGAGTGGGAGCAGCAGAGTTCCCGCCAGGTGGCAGCAACACCAGAGTGAGCACTGCCCTGGGGACAAAACCTAACCTGGCAAAGGAAGGTTGCTAAGCTTTGTGGTTTTCGGATGGGTCCTGCCCATCCACTTCGGGGTCACATCTTCATCTCTGTCACCACGGAAATCCCAAGAGGAGCAAACCTCCTGGGGCAGGAAGATGGGGGCTGTGGCTTTCTGGAGACTTCACGAACATGTCCGTCTAGAGCATATCAGCTGAGAGAGATGAATGAGCAGGGTGCGGATCCCCGGTGGGTAGCCGGCCTCTTCTGACGCTGGCAAAAAGCATATGTCAGGCACCGAAGCCTTGCAGAGCTGATAAGAAACTCACAGGCCTGAGTAGTGCACAGGGTTCCAGGCATCCGGCCCAGCCTCTAGGAACAGGTACTATCCAAATGCATCTCCACATCCCTAACAAACCATTCTTCTCCCGAGATCGTTTCAAGGCGTCTGTAACAGAGCCGTACTGTGAGGGACGAGATAAACCCGAGTGTAGGGCAAGAGATGGTCTAATTCTCTAGCTCCCAGGGCTTCCACCTGACTGTGAGCAGCCTCTCTGCCTTTCTTTATATACAAATGTTAAATGTATATATTGGAATGCTGATGGAAACCAAGGGCTTGTGCAGGCTAAGCAACCATTCTAACGCCGAGTACATGCCCAGCTGTCTTCTTACTTATTTGAGAGAGTGTCTAAGTGGCCCAGGATGGTCTTGAGCTCACCCTGTATCCCAAGCAGTCCTTGAACTTGAGATCCTCCTGCCTCAGGCTCCTGAGTAGCCAGGCTTACAGGAATGTGCCACTAGGTCTTGCTTCTGATTAGATTTTTTAATCAACTAATTTTAGAAATAGGGAAAAAATAAAAATAAGAAAGGCAGAGGGGCCCTGGTTGCCTTGAATGAAAATCGGGATTGTGTATCCACAAATAATAGAGAACACGTGGCATTTGTCTTTCTGAGCCTGGGTTAACTCGTTCAGTATATTTTTCAGTTCCATCCATTAACCTGCAAGTTCATCTTTCTTCACAGCTGGATAGGATTCCATTGCGTATGGACTACATTTTTATCAGGGGAAAGATATTTACATGTGTCTATTTCCTGGCTGTTGTGCACAGAGTGGCAAAGGCCATGGCTGAGCAGGGTTTCTGTGCATCGTCAAGTTCTTTGGATCCCTGTGGAGGAGCGGCAGAGGTGGGTCATACCGCAGGTCTAGCTTTAGTTTTCTGAGAACTTCTCCACTGACTTCCAGAGTGGCTATAGCAGTCGGCCGTCTAGGACAGTGACTGAGAGTCCCCATTTCCCATATCATCATCAGAGTTTGTTAGCTGCTTTCTTAATCTGAGCCAGTTTGACGGGGGTAAAATGAAATTTCAAAGTAGTTTTAACTTGCCCTTCCTGAGCGCTAAGAAGATTGAGTACTTAAAAAAAATTTCTCAGTCAATTTTATTTTTCCCTTTGAGACTTTCTGTTGATATTCACAGCCCATGGTTTTCACTGGGTTATTTTTCTGATTCAGCAAAGATTCACTCTCACTCTGTGGTCTTCCTCTATAATCCTATTTTCTTTGCTGTACAGAAACTTTTTGACTTACAGAGTTCCCATTTGTCAAGTGCGGGCCTTAATCCAGAGTGAGCGGAATCCTGCTCAGAGAGCCCTTTGCTGTACCTATGTCTTGTAGGGTACAGCATTTTTTTTTTCTTCTGGCAGTTTCCATGTTCCAGGTTTCACACTGAGGCCTTCAATCCCTTTGGAGTTGATTTTTATGCAGGGTGACAGATACAGATTTTCTATTTTTGTGAAGAATGTTAGAGATTTTTTTTTTTTAAATTGGAAATCGCACTGAA